TCCAGCATTTTTATAACAGCCAATTCTCTGGGTGCCCAAACCCAGGCAAAACTGTTATGGTTCGTGCTGCGTTTATTCATTTGCCTTGAACTGAGCGCCCGGGTTGGAAATGAAAAGGGACTGTTGTGTTTTCCTTGAAAGGGCATGTGTGTCAATATAGAAGGACTCAGTTTATACATTGTGCTGAGCTATGGTTCATTTAACCATAGTTTATTAAAGAACAATTGGCTGGGTTGTATAGTTTAGACAGCACACTAAACTGTAAATTGTGATTTCTACATTGCAATGGCACTTTATAAATCAAAGCATGTGCAAAATAGCTGGCTACACACCAACCCAGGCTGTGGGGTTTCAGCACATGCATTTACGTACATGCGCATTGGAGACTAATAAAAACATTTGGAATAAACGATGTTGAACCTTGCAGAATAGCAAACAACTCCAGCAGCAAAAAAGTCAAAGGTATTTTGCAGAAGCAAAACCGGAATAGTGATTTACCAAAAAAAGAGACTAAAAATTAGCTAATATTTTCCATCTAATATATGTCTTATTTATTTTACCTGCATTAGCTTGTCCTTATGAATTTCTGCAGCAGGATGGTGGTAGGGGGCCCAGGGCGTATATGAAAGAAAGAAAAAGGAATAATAAAGATTACTGAAGCTTGTAAAAACTTGAAATGGATCTAGTGGGTAATTCTGAACATCTTTTTTCCCCATTGAAGTGAAAGTGGTTTGAGAGGAATTTGGTTTCCCATGGTATATGCACAAATTACTTTGGGTTTTTGGCCAAAGCTCTAGCAGACTCTTGAGACAATAGCCCAACCTGTTGTACTTATGTCATCTGAAGCCACAAAGGAGAAGAGCACATAGACTGCAGACAGTGGGGTCCTGTTCAAGCAACTCTCTGTCTTTAAGCAAAATGAAAGCCTTTTTCTCCATTGACAGCCATCAACAACTGCAATTAGAATGAATGCAGCAAAATGTATAAATTGGATAGGAGTATGCGTGCATGAAGGCAAAGTAGAGGGATATATTTTGTACGTACAACTTGTGACCAGCCTAGTTGTCCCCATCCATGGTGGACAGCTAGGTATTTCCTTCTGTTTTCATATTCTGTTGGCGAAACAAAGCTGATGGCCCACCAGGGTCTTTTCACATGGTGAAAATCAGAGTTTTTATCTGAATTCTAGAGTCAAATTAAAAATGTAAGACTTCCAATGGATTGGACAAAAAGCCTCTCCAGCATCCTGTTTTCCATGGAGGCCATCCAGAAGCTCCCATGGGAAACTCTATCAAAGCTTGCAGGCACCTCCCATGCCTTTTCTCAATGAAGGAAATGGTATTCAGAGATAGATTCATTGGGTTCTTGGTGTTCGCTGAGCTTGTTTCTCTTCCTGCAGACATTTCATTATCAGGCTAGGCAACAACATCCGTGAAGAAGAGAAACAAGTTCAAAGAACACCAAGAACCCAACAATTCAACTCTGAGCTACATATATTCTCCACTATCGAGCGATAGAAGCTTTGTGAATAGAGAAGTGTCATCCATGATCAATAACAATGTATATTCTCTCTCTCTTTCACCTCCACGGATTTATCTGATCCTTCTTTCAAGACAGTTGTGGCAGTCAGCAGCAAATAACATAAATTACATCCTTTTGTTTTCTTTTTGTCTCCAATCTCCCCCCATTCAATTTCCCTGGATGACCCTTGAGTCTAATACTGTATTAGCAAATGGGGAAAACCCACCTTAGATTGTTTTGACCATAGGTTGTAACAAATAAGACAAAACCTACATAAAAGTGGCCAAAAATTAATAAAATCCATTAAGATGTACAAAACTCAGTAAGAATATTAAAACAGTGTTATTGCAGCAGATAAAATAATGGGAAAACATTAGGAATCTTTGATAAAATGGTATCTGTGTTTAGCAGCAGCCTATGTAAAGCTTGCTAATCTCCATAGTGGGGTCTCCTTGTCTGAATTCATTAAATATTCAATCTTATGTGAGCCAGGCCAAAATGATTTTCCTATCAAGAGGGGCTCTGCTGAAGCGGAAATAGGGCAGTACAAGAAATAATGTGTAAAAACTTCTATAATTTCCTTGGAATGTGGGCAGAAGCGCATATTATATGGGATATTAAGAGATCGGCCCTCGCTAGTTTCTGATGCCATTTGCTGGAACCGTCTTGGAGGGATAGCACCATAACACACCTCAGATAATGTTCAGCTCACCTTAGATATTTCCCTAAAGAAATCATATCAATTTCTTCATTAATAGGTAACCCAACCCATTTGTGGTATTGTGTGTTCTGACTTAATGCATTGCACAACAACGATGACAATGATACAAGGGTCGCTGTAGTATTTTTTTATCTTGGGCTTTGAAGCTGGAATGTTGTGATGTCTGAGCTCAAGATTCCCTTAATTTCTGGCTTTCCGTTTGTCTCTGTGGCTCCAAAATTATTATTTGACCTGGAAAGAAAGCAGACCAGATTAAACAAAAGTAGAGATGTATAAATTCTGTTCTTCTGAGGATTGCCACATACAAACAGTTGCACCTTTAATAATTGGAAAGGGGAGGTATTTCCACAGGTTTTGAAAGCTACATCTGCAAAAATGTCCTCTTCTACCTACTGTTAAACATGAAGATGGACTACTGTATTTTCTCTCTGGCCATCTTAAACTCTTGGCTCCTAGGAAAGGGTTCCTCAACCTCAGCAACTTTAAGATGGGTGGACTTCAACTCCCAGAATTCCCCAGCCAGCCATGCT